TGCTCAGTATGCCAGCCCACCACTGAGTGATGCCCCAGCCCCCCAAATTTCCATTCTATATAAACTGCCCACTCACAATCATGGATGTTTGGAAGACGGCCTGAGACATTGCCTCGGGCTCAAAGCTACACGAAGTGATGGTGGCAGAACGCAGCCACACTCGGACGCACCCCCAGAGACATGTGTAGAGTGAGCAGACTCAGGCTGAGGTGACCCACACGCAGCCTCATCAGCTAAGACTGGTCATCCCTGTTGCAATCACATGCAGGGAGAGATCCCATGGTGTGGCTGCCAGAATCCCTGAGGACACCCTCAGTCATTCTTTCATGTTCCTCCTTTCCCTCTCCCCAGTCTCCTGTGTGTGTGTGTGTGTGTATGGGGGTATGTGTGTGTGTATGGGTGTGTGTGTGTGTGTGTGTGTGTGTGTGTGTTGTGGTGGTGTGTGTGTGCGTATATGTGTGTGTATATGGGGGTATGTGTGTGTATATGTGGGTGTGTGTGTGTGTGTATATGGGGGTATGTGTGTGTATATGTGGGGGTATGTGTGTGCGTATATGTGTGTGTATATGGGGGTATGTGTGTGTATATGTGGGGGGTATGTGTGTGTATGTGGGGGGTATGTGTGTGTATATGTGGGGGTATGTGTGTGTACGTATGTGTGTGTATGTGGGGGGTATGTGTGTGTATGTATGTGTGTGTATGTGGGGGGGTATGTGTGTGTTTGTATTTGTGTGTATGTGGGGGGTATGTGTGTGTTTGTATTTGTGTGTATGTGGGGGGGTATGTGTGTGTTTGTGTGTGTGTGGTATGTGTGTCTTTGTCTCTCACCACTGTTATAGAACAGTCCTCAGAATGTAATAACTCTTGCCAATTTTTTTTTATTTTTTTTATTTTTTGGTTTTTTGAGACAGGGTTTCTCTGTGTAGCCCCATCTATCCTGTAACTCACTCTGTAGCCCAGGCTGACCTCGAACTCACAGAGATCCGCCTGCCTCTGCCTCCTGAGTGCTGGGATTAAAGACGTGTGCCACCACTACCCAGCCAACTCTTACCATTTTTATCATAGTAACTGTGGCCATTCAAAAGAGACCCTCAAGGTCAGGCATATTGGGCCAGCAAGATGGCTTAGTGGATACAAGTGTTTGTCCCCAAGCCTGATGATCTGGGACCAAGTTTGGACTCTGGGATCCCCATTGTGGAATGAGAGAATCAACTCGCACAAGTGGTTCTCTGACCTTGGCCCTTTTGCACACAAACTAAATAAATTAATATAATAAAAATTTAAAAATAAACAGGGTGGTGGAGGTGCTTGCCTTTAACAGAGAAACGGGTGGGAAAGGTCAAAGATGACAGAGTCCTCCGGGCAGCTGTCACTCAGTGAGGCATTTTTACTTCTATTTTATGTGTGTGAGTGTTT